TGCACTTAGCCCCGGTCATCGCTCAGGGAATATTGATCAAAAGTGCTCACCTCTCCATCCCGGGAACATAATGCAGTCTGTGAGTATTCATGGAAAAAAGCTTTTCTTGGCCAGGCTATTTTCTGAAGTCAAAAAGATCCTTTCAGGATCTATAATAGCAAGCCCTTCCCTCTTCACACCCTCGGTAAAAAGCACACTGCCGAGCTCAGACTCCAGGACCCCGCGCTGAGACACAAGCTGAGTGGGACCTATTCATACAGCACATCGTCAGTGGCACCCAGCGGCCATCTGATGGAGCGGGGGAGATGAAGTCACAGGGACACACAGACAAGAGGAAGGACACTCTTGTTCCACAATCATTTATGCATCTGTTGCCTCTCTCCTAAAGTGACGTTTTACATAGAATTTCTAATTACATCCACAACACAGCCTGATGTGTGAGGCAGCACATCTTGGTGCGAATACTGAAAAATATCCAATTAGGGTTTTTCACATCTGACACGGTAGAAAAGAAAGGATGCTTCCCAGTTTACTTTTGTTCTATAAAAAGCAGACTCTTCCAGGCAACTCTCTGTATTCACCCCTGCATCTATCGTCTACCTTTATTTTAATTAACTATTTAATTAACTTGCAGTGGTGGGGACTGAACCCAGGACCCTGAATGTGCCAGGTAAGTGCTCTGCTAAGGCAAGTATTTATTTTATTTAATTTTTTAAAAATATTTTATTTATTTGGTATAGGGTCTTGCTATACAGCTCAGACTACTAGTGATCCTCCTGTCTCAGCCTCCTCAAAACTGGAATTACAGGTATGTGCCACCATGCTTCATTTCAATGGTCTGCATGGCGCTCTGGGTGTTCTGGGGCCAGTACAGCATGAGATACTGAGGATCAGATTGAACCCAGATCTTTGCACTTTCAGGCAGATGCTTAGACTGCTGAGCTATCTTCCCAGCTCTGACAAATATTTCTTAACATGACAACTGATCCTGAGACCCTCATTCCTCTCATCCAACTTATGTTAAGGGGATGTAGGTATTACAAATATTTTTAATTTAAAATTCCAGCAATAACAAAAAGAAGCAAGGAGAACTTGCACTGTGCAGCAGTCTCACCCAGCAGCTCGCTGGCACAGCTGGGCTGCACGTGGTTCTGCAGCAGGCCAGGAAGTATGTCTCTGCATGCCTGACCCCCGCATCATGGCCACCAGCCAGTGTCCAGTCCCAAGGCCTGGAGGGGATGGGGGCTGCCAGAGCAGAATGCAAACCTGCTCCAGGCTTTGGATACAAGTCCCCCTCTGTACCTCTGCTCAGGGGCAGCTCTTGTGGCGCTCAAAGCACTGGCGTGGCTGCTTCTCCTGCTGGAGCACCTGACACACTTTGTTCAGGGGGCAACACATGCTTTTTGATCAAACTACAGTGAGGACTTACGAAGCGGGTTGGCTGTGAGCAAGGAGTGGTGTAACCATCCATATCGGGACCTGGGCCTGCCTGGGCTCTGGGCTTCACCTCAAGGTCTACTTTTTAGGACCAATGGGGCAATCTGTGCCCTAGACATGCCCTGCCCAGGGCTTCTGGGTCACCCTCATGTCCTGGTGCAGGTGATTTCCAAGTGCTCTCTGCCCTATGGCAGGGTAGGGGAGACTCCTGGGAAGGCTGGTCCCCACATTGCATGCACCCCAGTTGTATGGTGCCTGGTGGGGATGGCAGTGGTGCTGGGTGGCCTTAGGGACACCTTCACAAAGGCTAAAAGATACAAGGAAACATTTTCAACCAACAGTCCAGGGACTGGTGAGGAACAGTGACAGCTGCTAAACGGAGTGTCACCAAGGAGCAGGGAACCCAGCCCCTGCCTAGAGCCACACCTTGAGCCATGTGAGCCCACACAGCTGACATCGTCAGGCCTTGGCGCTTTCAGCGGTAGATTCCAGCCCCGAATAAGCGAAATATGTGTGGGCAATACTCACTTTGTGCTCACTTTCTACAATGCTTATGCTTTGGATTAAAAAATGAAATGCAGTTAAAACCATGCCCATGTATAGGAGAAAGAGCAAGTACAACAAGTGCTCCTCCACATAAATGGTTTAAAGAATCAAAGAGACCTTAGTGTAGTTCAGACACAAATGCGGTGCCCCAGTGCCAGTGCCGATGCCTACAGAAGTGAACAGGCAGCCTGTCCACGGCTCCTCACTGGCAGGTAAATGATTCTGACTTTTTCCCGGGACACTTAGAGAATTTACTATGGCCAGAGTGTAATTTGAGAGTGTTATTTGTGTGTGTGTGTGTGTGTGTGTGTGTGTGTGTGTTCAGTTCTTGCACCAGTCAAAGACCAATATGGATGTACAACAGCGTTGCTTACAGCAAGGGTCCTTTGGGGGCCATGGTGAGTTCAATTCCTTCAGGCATTCTTCCGGTCTTATACAACAGTACCTGGGGTTTGACATGTGATTTGAAGATGTCCTGGTCCCCTATAGGGAGTGGATGTAGTTTAGGAAGCCACCTCTCTCTGTTGTCTGCAGGCTTCTTGACAGGCTTTCATAACAGCCTTGAATTCCTAATGACCAGATCTGACAACAGTGCAGAATTATTTCAAGGGAGCACCCTGGGCTCCTCCCACTGGTCTGTTAGGGTGGGGTGAGGGACAGCCCTGAGGAGCCCCCTAAGGGGTGCTACCCAGCCTCCAATCCGAGGCCCACTTGCTTCCCTGAGCACCAGAGTGGCCTGGCTCAGGCTCCCCACTTCATCTGCAGCTGCATCCTCTGGGTAGGTAGGGAAGGCAGAGCAAGGGCAACAGAACTGGGGCACAGTGGGTCAGGAAGCCCAGCTTCTTGCCATGGAGCCCATACTTCCCAATGAGCTTCCTACAGAGAGCAGAGTCTTAAAAACATGCTGTCCCCATGTGTAGGCTTTGCTATCCGTCAGAAATGAGAAAGGCCAATCAGTTCAGACTCCGTGGGACTCCTGGGAACACCTGGCCACTCTCCTGAGGCCATTGGTCTGTTGAATCGATAAGTGAATGATTTTACAAACCCGGTTACCTAATGGGAGCATTCTAGTGGTGCTGTCCAGAGCATGGGGGGCCTGGAACTCAGGCAGTGGCTGGGGCCATCTGCAGTGTGGTGGTGTCCCAAGGCAGGCCACAAGCCTGGTGCCAGCCATGCCAGCAGGAGGCCACACTACAGCTTGCCTGTCAGGACTTTCCACAGCCCTCTGCTCACTGGGGACATGGTCTGGAGCATGAGAAGGTGTGGCGCACTAGGGCTGCCTTGGAGGGACAGCAGGACAGGCTTGCATGGAGAAAGGGCACAATGATAGTGCGCACACGTCCTCGGGTGACCAGTTCTTGGTAGCCCAATCAGGCACCATGAGGTCAATTTACCTACATGTGTAAACTTCCCTGCCCTGGTACCAGATACCACGTTGGACACATTTATGGGCTCTAGTTTATAAAACATTTTGAACAACTCTATCCAACAAAAATACAAATCACCTCTTAAATGAGATGCCAGGATCAAGTTTATGTTCCTACAAATTATTAGACAGAAATAGGTATCAGCTAAGCGCAATGTTTTGGAACTGAAGGGGAAGACAGTGACCTAGAGCATCAAGTGACATCAGCAGCGAGCCGCACGCTGTCCCGGAGCACGGCTGCCTTGGTGGAGTGTGTCCTGTGTCACGTGCACACACACGCACGCGCACACGTGGGTGGGCTAGCTGAGGTTTCTCCCACCTTGGCACCTCTGTGGGTGTGGAGCAGGAGGAAAATTAAATAAAGCAAGAATCAAACAACACACTGTAACTTAATTTACTGTATTTATCAAATTTTCCCTTATTTATACATACTAAACATTGCAGACCTTAAAGCACGGGGAACATTCACCTCGTGTGCATGTTGTACACAGGTATGGAACACAGCTACGATGGCTATTTCATCTTGAACGTCTCTTGGGTAGATACAAAGTTCTCAGCTACATACAGGATGTCACCGTAATTTTCTAAGGATTCAGGAGACTCTGCTTGCAATAAACAGATGGGGTCACTGGTGGGCGTCGGTGTCAGAGTTGGTTGGGAAGATGGAGACGTGTGTGGGTCTCTGGATCTGCACGACCTCTTGTCTGTAAGGCTCGGGGTCTAGTGGGTCACCCACATCACAAACGAGGGTGCCCACCCACAGCTCTTAGGAGCTGCAAGACTTTGCTGCCGAGGACGCACTCGACAGCTACTCACCCGGGCTACATTTTTGCATGCTCAAGCTTGGCTATTTTAAAAAGTTATTTGTGGAATTACTATATTTTCATACAAAAACTGATCAGTGAGACTCTAAATACAGTTTTACTCTGATGGACATTGGAAACCACTGTGCAGAGTGGGGGATGCAGCCTGGCCACACGTGCATCCCACTTGGGGCTACTGGGTATGCAGATGCTGGCCACTTGCTGGGAGGGGGTGCGACAGCGCTGTGGCTGGGATGGTTTGAGTGACCGTGGTGATTTTTCTAAAAGGCATTTATTACAAAACCACAATATTTGCTTTTCTAACTGGGGAAAAAAATCTCAATCAATTTTCCAACCCAAATAACAAGAACGACTAAGTCATGTGTTTCACGCAACGTGGTTGCCAGACTCCTGGATTCTCACTCTGTCTCCAGACCAAAGTTGTTCCTGCAACACTGGGCTTGACTCCAGGCACAGGGCTGCCGACTGTCACCCAGGGTTACGGGGCTGTTAAAACTATTGGGGATTACACAGAGGTTGAGTTCTTTGCTATCTGCAATTGAATTTCCCACTTCCAGGTCAGAAGTGCTGGCTGTAGAGACACGGAAGCCTGAGTCCAGGACATCAACTCCGGCACCTAGGGCTGGATGGGGCTCAGAGCTAAACACTGGTCTAGCACAAGTGAGGCCCTGGGTTCTACCCTGGCACCACAGAAAGGAAAACCCTTCCGTCCTGCCACGCCTCTCTTCCCTCTGCCCACTGTGCATGAAGCCACATGCACAGCATGAAGCCACTGTGCAGATCCACATTCTCTGGGAGCCACTTCCTGCCTATGGGCCCAGGGACAGGTGACAAGCTCTGCAGAGGAGCGAGATCTGGGCAGTGTGTAAACATGAAACCAAGTAGAGCAGTGACAGTCACAGGTCTGAGTGACAGCAGTTAAACTGGTGGCCTGAAAACTCAAATCAGTGAAAAGGGACCTGTGAGAGCAAGGATGGGGACATGGTGGGAAAGGGCAGCAAACCTGGTCACCTGCCCACACCCTCAGAACATAGCCCTCAGTGACCATGGCCGATTGTCACCCAGGATACCCTGTCTTGAGTGGGACACCTCCATCCTCAGGCTTGGGACAACCCTGCCGGCAAGCTCCACATTCCTCACAGGGATGCCACTCGTCCCTTCTCATGTCCCAGGTCATGCCTGGCTCCCAGGTTGCCCTAGTGCAGCATCAGTCGTCATCAGCCAAAGATACACCACAGCCACTGGGGACCCGGCCCAGCAGGGGCATGGCTGCACAGTCTGTCGGCCATCAGCTGGGCTGAGGTGACATGCAGGTGTGTGTAGCGCAGCATGGGCACAGGCACAGGGCCTGTGTCCTGGGGATGCTCGCCTTGGTGTTGGAGGAGCTGAGCTGAGCTGTGGCCAGCAGCCATCCTTGCCCTGCAGAAGTTGGGACCCAGATTGCCAAAGCTCTGGGTACTCTGGGACAGGAGGATACCTTTCGCACAATCCTGCTGTGCTAGGGCTGCAGGTGCCAGGTGGAAGTGGTAATCTCCCTGGGCAGGACCCTGGGGAGAGCCATTGTCATTATGATGAAATTTCTGAGCAAATCATGATCCTAACAGAGGAAGGACAGGTGAAATCCTTACACAGGAAATTCCTCCCACAGTGGCCAAATTCTGTTGTCCTCTCATGAGTGGTTGCATTTATGAATGGGGGAGCCAACTGCCCTCTGCTCCCTCCCCAAGGGCAGTGCCTGTGCCTGCAGCAGCCACTTGTCTCTGGTTGTTGCCTTTTTTCTTCTTTCAAGGCTGTGCATTTGTGAGGTTTCAGGATACAATTTCACAGCCCTGTCTGGAAGTTCCATGTGACCCTCCAAGGGTCTGCACAGCCAGCCATGTCTCCCCAAGGGCTCCAGGTCTGGGGGCTGAGGAGGTCAGGGAATCCACCTGTCTTGTCCACGCCAAGGCTCTTGTGGGGTGGCACTCAGGCTGGGGGCCACAGCACCTGCAAAGGACTGAGGTTGGCCAGTGGCAGAGTCACCCAAGGCTCTGTGTTAGATAGGGCAGAACCGGCACCCAGAAGAAAGGGAAGCTGTCCTGCAACCTCTCCTCCTGCTGGTGAGGGCTGGCTGAATACTACCGAATTAGCCTAGGAACGCCTTTCCTCCTGGCCTTTGCCCTGGCTTTCCCTGCAGCCTAAAAGAAGTAGTGCATCTTTCCAGGCAATTGGGAACTGCAGGATGGAGAGACAAGCCTCTGACAACAGCAAGAAGAGGCCAGGGCAGGAAGCAGCACTGGGGTGAGATGGAAGAGAGCCAGCGTGACTTCCCGGAAGTGCACATCCCGGTCGGTGTCTGGGGACCGCAGCGTGTTTACAGATGCTATTTTACACTATGAGATGCTACTCCTGTTCCTCAAGGGGCCTGTGACTAGAGGTAAGGACTAAACTCCTCCTCTGAATGAGTCCGGATGAGCGCACAGCCGTTGAGCACCAAGGGAAGGAGAATAAAATTAAAACTCTTCTTTGCACTCTGGAGGCTGATCCCAGGGCACCTGGGCCCAGGGGTGTTCAGGAATGCTGCTGCAATACCCGGCCTTGGTTGCCAGCCCTGGCCCCTAGAGCCCCATGATGAGCGCATGGTTTCATCACCTCCCTCCTGAGTGACCCCCTGCGGGGGCGCCCCACTCCTCCAGGCGGCAGCCTCCGCATTCATTCAGGAAGGTGCTGTTTCTGCGACACTCCTTGCCCTCGCCCCCTGCTTCTAGGGCATAGTCCGAGTCAATGCTCCAGCTATCCTGGGACCCACGGAGGTGGCAGCCCAGTGGCCCCCAGGTTCTCCACACTCTGGCTCCACTGTGCTCCTTCAAGGCTGGGGGAGACCAGGTAGGCTGGATGGGGTGAGTTCAGAGGTGATACCCGCCAGTAGGCATGAGGCCTTTCTTGGGTTCCCACCCAGGGCCGCAAAAACAATAAAAGTGGAGAATTGTGAGCCAGAAACCCAGGTCTATAAGGACTCAGGGGAAACACACCTGATTTAACCCCAGAAAATACCCAGCTGTGGTTCCACCCACTGCTGGCATCAGAGCAGGTGGTTTAAAGACATTGAGTGAAGGTACAATATTTGTCCTGTGCCCTGCCCCATCCTGTGACCACTTGGGAAAACAGGGCAAGGCCAGTGGAGTCCCTGAGCTGGGACATGATGATGTAGTGAAGACCCAGGCATCTGAAGGTAGGGCACCAGCCAAGGCAAAGGGCAAAGCCAACCCGGAGCCAGGTAGCAGTCAGTGCCACCGTGCACACAGGGCCCTGAAGCCCGACCTCCCTCCTGATGTGTCCCAGGCCTTCACGGCTCCTGTATGTCCCTGTACCTGTGACAGGAGAAGGGTAGAGTAGTGCTGTTTCACTCCTTTAGGACTGTGGTAGGCCTAGGGGAGCACCCGGCCCACCTGAGCACTCCTGAGCCTTAGTGAGACCAGTGTGGGACAGTAGGAGCTGGACACAGTTACAGTGAGGAGACACAGGGCTGGAACCAGGGTTAGTCGAATGAGGCGCTGCTGCTCCTCTGGTCATGGGCATGGTGGGGCCCATTGCTTGGAACCAGCTTCGGGCCTGGACTCTAGGGGTGGCCTGGCTAACACAATGCTTGTCCAGCTTTCTCCTCTAAGTAGCAGCACCATCACTATTTCCCATGCATCTCTTCCTGCTCAGGATGTCTGTATGCCTGGGTTTTCAGTCAGCTATTCATGGGCTGCCATCTACTGCAGACTGAAGCTCGGGCCGGACCCCAGGCCCAGCAGTGGAAGCCCGAGCCCAAGTCACACCTGCCCTGGCCACCTGCCCAATGGGTCCTAGACACATTCTCCACCCTCTACCCCCAACCTCTGTCTGCTTCTCTGCCCCAGCTGGTCCCCTCACCCTCCAGCTGGCCCTTCAGGGTGGAGGCCACATGGGCCCCACCCTATCAGCCCATCCCCAGGCCTGCTTCTCTGGGTGTGCACAACACAAAAGAAGGTGGCTCCATGCCCACAGGCTCCCTGCAGTCCCCCACACAAAGGGTGGCAACAAAGACATTTCCTGGGGTGGCAGGTGCTGGTGTCAGGTTCTGCAGTGTGTACAAGCAGAAGAGAGCAGGTGAAGCGGGCCCAGGGCAGAGCAGGCAGGGCCTGGCAAGCAGCAGTACAGGCAGCACAGGGACCTGCACAGCGGTCACCCCCTCCCCAAGTGGTGCTGGGCAGATCCGAGGAAGCAGAGGGCTTACCTTGCTCAGGTACCATAACAAGACCTCTGTGCATTTTAATCTGCAGGGAAAGAGCATAAATCAAGTAAATATGAGCTCGCCCCACTGCCAATTAACACAGCGGCAGGACACACGAATGAGGCAGACCTTCCAGGAGCCTGTAGATGCAGGCTGGGACTGACAGCCATATCTTTTTCCAGTGCCCAAGTTTCCCTGACAGACTCAGTCTGAATCACGGTCACAGATAAAGAGGTCTTCAGCCCAGCATGTAAAACTCAAATGATGGCCTGGAAAATCACAGAAAGCCCCGGCATGTCACTAAGGTTCAGCTCACAGGTTTCTGAGTTGTATAGCATGTCAGTCCCTCCTGGTATTCCCTGACACAGAATAGTCCCCAGAGAGGGGATGCAGCATGCAGGAAGGTGCCGTGGTGGTGGAGTCAGACTGTGAGCTCACTCTGTCAACACCAGGGGACCAGGGTGTCAGTGTGTCCACACCATGTGACAGGTATCTCCTTGTACCCCTTCATCCTACACTACATCCCTATGGGTCTCCTCAGCTGAGGTACCCCCTTTCTGGTACTGTAATCTCACCTCAGCACCCTAACCTTCCAGAATGCAGTACCACCAGATCACCACAAAGTCTGGGTAAAGGACATCAAGCAGTGACATGAACTACCATCCACTGGCCATAGCTGAAAACTTGGGTTTTCTGCAGCCTCTCTGCAGTGGCTGGCACAGGGCCAGCCTGGGTTCTAGCTATGGTCCACGATGCCCGAGGGGGAGGCCCAGTCTCTCAGAAACGTCTTCTGAAGGGACGAATACCTCCATGAAGACATTTTCTAATCTGCTTATGTCAATTCACCACTACTGCCCTGAATGAAAACTACCTGGGGCTAGGAATTCCAGTAATAAGGGGTCCTGGATGACCCAGCAGCATTGTGAGTCCCACCAACCAGGGTCAACCACACAAAATGCTGCTCTGCATGGCATACGTAGCGCTGGACTGCAGCTCTGGCGGCAGGCAGCAGACGAGGATTCTTGGATGATGGGTCCCCGAGGTCTTCCTCCTGGGGAGGGGCCTCCACTTTTTAAAGCATCATGCTGCCCACACCCTCCCAAGTGCACCAGGGCTGCTGAGACGAGGGGCTCCCTGACCTCACTCCCTGCAGCCTGGGCCGGGCTGGGCAGCGCACCCAGACCCTGATTGGTGGACACTGAGAAAGCAGATGGTGTGCTCACAATGGACTTGTTTGTAATTGCTGATGAGGACGGGCCCACTCCTCTCCTGAGAGTCCCCAGACACAGCCTGGTGTGGTGTGCTGGGCCACAAAGAAGGACTCAGCAACTGCCAGGCCGTGGCTGCAGACAGAGATGGGAGGCAGAGGCAGCTGGGGCTCCAACATCACCTGGCCTCGACATGAAGGCTGTGCTCCTGCAGGGTGGAGTCCCAGTCATGGGGACGGGGAGGAGGTTGCCAGTTCCCAAAACATCCCTGGGGGTCAGTGCAAGGCTGCAAGTACCCTGTGCAATGCTAGAGATGCCGATGGGATGAGGCCAGAGGCACGCAGTGCCCTGCGGATGGGGAGTGTCCCCAAGCACAGTTGTTCCATCTTACCTTTGGCCAGGCACCAGATATGTGCCAGGTATGGGTGTAAGCGCTGGGCTGTCCCTGTGAAAGAAGCAGCAGCAGCTCTGCTTTGGGCTCTGCCAGACAGCAACGAGTTAGGTATGCAGCTTGGGCAAAGATGCCTTTTTGCTTAAACACAGACTCAACTATAAACAAACATACAGTATTTCAAGGTGCTCCAGGGGAGGGGGATATTTCTGACAGGTTCCAGGGTGGGTGCTAGTGGGATAATGCCAAGAGACACTGGGTCCCAGGGCTGTGTGCATCGTGAAGATGAGTCTTCTTGACCCCAGTGTGAGGTGCTGGGAGCGGTGGAGAGACTCCACGGGTTTCTTTCCAACACCCAAGCCATGGAGCCAGGCAGTGGCTCTGACGCACAGTGTTTGTCTGGAGAACCCAGAAGTCACTTTACAGAAAGCTGTCTCTTCAGGCCTAATTGGTGCCTTTGATGCTCTGGATATGGAAACCAAGGGAACAACAGGCCCGGTGGAGATGGGCTGTGTTCTCTCAGGTCTGCCTAGCAGATGCTCCCAGATCCATGGGCCTTTCCAGTGCCTTTTCTCCAGCTGTGCTCACTGGGACAGCAGAGGAGCAAGGTGAGAAGCCAGCTTCCTCTTTTGGAGGAAAGCCTGCCCAGGACGGCCACCTAGGATGATGCTGGGCAGGTCAGACAGAGTGTGGTTGGGATAATCAGGAAGAACACTGACTTGGAAGGCTGGCATGGATGCAGACAGACATACTGACCAGGGCTGCAGCTTCTACAGGTGTTAACTATTGTAGCAGCAGGAAGGTGAAAGAGCGGGATCAGAGCTGCCTGAGATATTCAGACCCTTGGAATGGCTCAGGGAAGGAACAGGTACAGGCAGCGGTGGGTTACTCTGTACACAGAGCCGCACCAGCTACCCAGGGCCATTGCCAGCAGGGCTGCCAGGCTAATTAACATCTCCAAAGGACCTGAAGATGGCTTCCAGCACTGTCAGCCCAGCAGTGGTGGCTCGTGCTGGCCTGGCCCTGGCTCTGAGCTTGGCTGTCCGTTCGGTTGCCGATCCATCTTGTCCTTCATCTCTGGTTCTGCAGCAGAAAGCTAGGGTGGCTGGACCACGAGAAAGGGAGAGAGTGGGGAGCCGGTGACAGCCTCTTTGTACACTGGTGCAGGGCAGAGAATTGTGGGCTATTCATGGAAAATATTTCTGCACCTTTCTCTTTCTTTTTCACACCTATAACACACACACCTGTGCTGCCAGCATTTAGAAGGCTGAAGCAGCAGGATTGCTACAAACTTGAGGCCAGCTTGGGCTATACTTTGTGGGTGTGCGGCCAGCTTGCACTACATAGTGAGACCTTGTCTCATGTAACCAAAGAGCTGTGACTAAATTCTACATTTAAAATTAGTGTCTTAGTGCCAACCTTCTTGGTAGGCCACCATGGAATGAGGTCTGTGGACCTGCTTGGCTCACACAAAACATGAGTACCAAGATTTCAGTGCTGTGGCCATAGTAGGTCCTCACGTCACCAGACTAAAGCCACCCCAGCAAATGGCAGGGTTGTGCATGGTGTGCCTGGTAGTAATGGTCCAACAGTCCCAAGATGGAGATAGCTCCAGTGTTCCTTGTGGATGGGTGGACAACATATGACAGCTGATACAAATGGGTGAGCCTTGGGAACATGCTGGAACAGCACTGGGCACCAAGGTCATAGGCTTCACGGTTCCGCTCATACAAGGTGCCCAGACTAGGAGTGTCGAAGAAACGAAAGCAGATTAGTGGTGGCCTAAGATTGGAGTGGCTGGCGGAATGGGCTGGGTGGAGCTGGGTGTTTTTCTCCTTAAGGGATGAAAGTACTCATAAGGAGGCTGGGGAAGGTGGCAGGATTGATGCTCTCTGGTCTGTGGGTGAGCTGCGTGGGACTGCTATTATACATCCTTATGGCTGGGAATAGAGCTGGGGCCCCTGTGGTGCTGCATCAGAGCTCTGACTAGCCACCTCTGGCCCAAACATGGGTTTTACCATGGTGACATGGGACAGAAGGTGGGCTGAGTGGCATGGCTGTCCCCATTCCCAAAGAGATGCCACCAAGTGGCCCCAGATTTGGGGAACAGTCCAGAATGACCAGGGGAGCAAGGGACAGGGCAGTGTTGTGGCCTGGGCATTACAACTTCACCTCTTAGACTGGGCCACTCTAGGAACTTCCTCCACCGCAATGCACACAAGGCCAGCCCTGCGGGTGATAGACTGCTCAGTGGTGACCTCTGTCCTGTCTAGGTTGTCCCTGAGTGCTCTCTGCTCAGGATACACTGGGACTGCATGTGGCCCTTAGGGCTGTTTAGTGAATTCCCCAATGATGAGCAGCCAGGAGGAAACATCACGTTAGGCATGCAGGAGGACAGAGTGCTAGGAGGAGATGTCACAGGAGCTTCAGAACTGCCCAGTGTTTTCCTGATGACAATGGTCTTCCTGGGATGGGGCTGGGGCAGCTCAGAGGCAGAGCACATGAGTGATCCCTGGGGACCAAGACAAGCCAACCATAAGGGCCTGTTGCCTTCAGACAACCAGGAGGAGCTGGGCCTGTCCTGAACCACTGCTACACGTGTGCTTCTTCCTTAACTTCCAGCCACCCCTACACATCTGTGCCCCCAGCTGTACCCTCGCCAATGTGCCAACTGTCCTGGTAACCCATCCCAGCAAGTTGCCCTTGCTGCCTCTGGGTAGGACATTTCACTTATGCCATAGAAAGAGAACCTCCCGCCAACCGGCAGCTCGCACCCTGGCCTTGTGACCCTTAGCAACATCAGTGGACGTGGGCCTGCAAGACTGGGACACAAGGTTGCCAGGAGCAGAAAGATCTAAGCAAATGTGATTGCCCCAGATGACAAAGAAGCCACTTTCCTCCATTCCTTAACTGCCACAGAGGTCACTATGATTCCCAGAAGTAGAGACAATGCAGATGGCAGTCACCATCCTTAGCTGTGGAAATTAGTCACCCTTCAGACATGCAGCAGGCCATGCCTCACCTGGGTTCCTCCAGCCAGCACATGTGTCACAACCTCTGGGTCTCATGTGAGCCTGTGGTGCCTGAGGAGAGGTGGGATCTGCAACAGCAGGTTCCCTACACGAAAGTGCCATCCCGTGCTGTCACCTGGGCAGCCCTGGCTGGGCTGCACTTGGTGGTGCTGTGGTGAGGATGTCACTGTGGCCCCAGCTCCCCACAGACAATGTTCAGGGAGGTCACCTCTTGCTCTCCCTGCACAGTATAGGTCTGAGACCTCTTCTGCCTGTCCCCTCAGCCCCCAGTCTGTTTTCCTGCAGAAGCCAGAGGATTCTTTCATGTCACCCCACAGTTCCCACAGCTGCCCAGCTCATTAGGGCATCAGCCAGAACCCCCTTCCTGGCTTGCTCCACTCACCCACTTGCTGAGGAAGGCTTTACCTCTGCC